TTTCTTTCTTTTTTTTTGTTTCTCTAATACTTAGCACAATGCCTAAAACAAAACAGATGCTTAAAAAAGGCTTGTTGAAGACAATCTTAACACAAGTCTCATTACTGTCATGCAGGACTATTGAAAGGGCCTCCTAATAGGCCTTCCTGCCTCTTTCTTCCTCTTCTAAACATTCTTCACACTAATTCCAGAGTTGTCATAGATCTGATCATGTCACCTCTTCACTCAAAACCCTTCAATGGTTGTCTATTGTTTACTGAGCAAAATTCACACCCATACTACCCTTCCTTTCCACCCTTTTCTCATACCTTTTTCTTCCATGCACAGTATTTTAGATGAACTGAATTATTTTCCACCTTCCCCTCAATCTCCAGTATACATACTTGCCTAGTATGCTCCTTATACTGTACTTTGCTAATACTGTTCTTATTCAAAATGAAACAGGTCTAAACAATGTATGTCTGTCAGCTGGGTTATCACTAGGAAAAACTGTGAAGTAGAGAAAACTTACATTCAGTTTACATCTACCTTCCCTTTCAATCATAACTTTCTTCTGTTTCATGGTATCTTCTCAATCTCCTCCATTTCCCCTTCCCCCAGACTCCAAATTAGGCTCCATAGGTAATTGCCTCCATACCTAAATGTCTTTGTGTAAGTAATTTTATATAATTATTCATAAAATAAATTATTACTTGCACATTATGAACCCACAATAAACTCTTGGCTATATTCGCTAGAGAAAGGGGCTAATGACATACATAATCATTAACTGCTGTTAATCCCCAGACTGCTTATATTGTCCTGAAGAAAATGTTTTGAATAAGGGTGTCTCATGTTCTAGGAATTCACAGTAGTTCTCCATATTTTCTCCCTGTTTCTCATTCAAAGCTGGGAATGGAGAACATCATCTTTGGAACTGATACAAAACCAATTTAACTAGAAGAACTCTTTCTAAGCTTGGTTTACATCTTCTCTTCCCAGGCAGGGAAAGAGGGGAGGTTTTAAAATGCTATTGAGCCTGACCATAGGGAAAGAACCTCAAACTTCAAATAAAGTAAGAATAAATAGAAATGAAGGGATTTGTTATGGGTAAACTAGCTGAGAAGTTGCTAACTACACAGGGAAAAGTTAGAGGTCTTGAGGAGTAAACATCAAGCAATGTTTTAAGGATGATTACAACTGGCCTAGCTAGGTGGCACAGGTCAGGCCTGGAGTCAGGAAGATGTGAATTCAAATCCAGCTCCAGAAACTTACTAGATGTGTGACCCTGGGCAAGTCACTTAACTCTGTTTGTCTCAGTTTCCTCATCTGTAAAATGTGCTGCAGAAGGAAATGGCAAACCACTCCAGTATCTTTGCCAAGAAAACTCCAAATGGGGTCATGAACAGTCAGCTGAACATGACTGAAACAATGGAACAGCAATAACAATAACAAAAGCTATCAAGTATACATAAGGAGTGAATTTATTGGGGGCAGTGGCACTGTCCTCCAGAGGCATCCGAGGTGAGACTTTAAAAAGCTATGCATTTATGGGGCAGCTAGGTGGCGCAGTGGATAGAGCACTGGCCCTGATGTCAGGAGGACCTTAGCTCAAATCTGACCTCAGACCAAACATTTGACACTTACTAGCTGTGTGATCCTGGGCAAGTCACTTAATCCCACTTGCCTAAAAAAAAAACAAACCCCAAAACAAAAAACTATGCATTTATTCTGTACTTGTAGAACCAAGAAAGACCAAGAAAAGGCTGTGATAATTTAAGGAAAAAATTCACTGAAAATAAAATCTTTTTAAATGTCAAAGACTACACTGACACACCTCTGCTTCCATTTTCTTACTATTTCCTACAATCAACGTTGAAAATGTGAAAGGTGCTGCTGAGATTACTTTCTTCCTTCAGGGTTCCATTCATACCCTGTGGTTTCCATGGTTTCTCATTGGTCCTGCCCAATAAGAGGAAGGGCACCTTGCTTGTACCTCTTCTCTGTATCTCTCCTACGCTCCCTTGCATCTCAGTCATTTGTGTGGTCAACCTTCCCCTCATTAGATAGTAAATTCCCTGAGCACAGGGTTTATGTGATGTCTATCTTTGAATCCCTGGCACCTAACCTAGTTCTTTGCATAGCATAGTGCTTGAAACATGTTGGTGAGATATGTGAATTCAAAGGGATATGCAAGTAACCATCATTATATAGCCATAGAATACTCCCAAAGCCAATAATATCCATTTCCATCTCTGTACATGACTGTATGCAGTATAGCACCCTGTAGAGAGACAGCAAGGAGGAGAGGATTTCTCCTCCCTTTCCTGGTTAAACTCCTTGACAAGGCCATCTACAGTTGTTGTTAGTGAGCCATTCAGTCATGTCTGACTCTTTGAGACCCCAGGGATGAGTCCATGGGGTTTTCTTGGCAAAGATACCGGAATGGTTTGCCATTTCCTTCTCCAGGATGCACCATTTTACAGATGAAGAATTGAGGCAAATAGGAGTTAAGTGACTTGCCCAAAGTCACACAGCTAGTCTGAAGTAAATTTGAACTCAGATCTTCCCAACTCCAGGCCCAACACTCTATCCACTGCACCACCTACCCGCCCCCACTTCTTTTCCTCTTGTTCTTAGTTTCGTTCTCTACAGTCTCTTATTGTGAGGCTCCTGACTTCATCTGAAACTCCTCTCTCCAAAGTTATCAAATGATTTCATAAATTGCCAAATCAAATGGCCTGTTTTCAGTGTTCATCCTTCTTGACCTCTCTGCAGTCTTTCACCCTGACAATCACCCCCTTCTCTTTGATAGGTTTCCATGATACTCCTCTTTCCTGGTTCTCTTCCTAATTATCTGATTGCTCCTTCTCAGTCTTCTCTGTTGGATATTCAAATAGGTCACACTCAATAACTGTGGATGTCCCACAGAGCTCTGTCATGGGCTCTCTTCTTCCTCTACAGGATTTAACTTGGTGATCTCATCAGCTTCCATGAATCCAGAGATCATCTCTCTGCTGGTGGTTCTCAGATCTATTTATCCAGCCCCAACCTTTCTCCTAACCACTAGATTCAGATCTCCAAATGTCTTTTGGAAAGTACAAACTAGATGTCCTAGAGACATCTTAAATCTGACATGAGCAAAATGGAATTCACTATTACTCCTCTCAAGTCCTCCCCCCATCTTACTGCCAACCACACCATCATCCTTCCAGCCATTCAGGCTCGTGACCTCAAACCCTGATTCTTCACATCCCCTTACCCCTTCCCATCCAATCTGTTGCCAAGGCCTGTTGCTTTTATCTTTGTAAAATCTTTTACACGTGCCCCCTTCTGTCTTTTGACACTGAAGTCTCCCTTGCGTTGGCAATCATTACTTCATGCCTGGACAATTCCAACAGCCTGCTGGTCAGACTCCTTGCCACAAGTCTCTCCCCACTCTAGTCCATTCTCCGTTCAAGCAGTCAATGTAATCTTCCCAAAGTGCAAACCTGACCACGTCATCGCCCTTCTCCCCAACCCCCATTGGATATACTCCAGTGGCACTCAAAGCCTTTCACAACCTGGCTTCCTCTTCCTTTCCAGTCTTCTTATGCTTGATTCCCCTGATACACTCTGTGATCCAGCAACATTGGTCTCCCTGTTGTTCCTTGGATAAGAAGCTCCATCTCAAGACTCTGGACATGTTTACTGGTTGTTCCTTATCTTTGCTTACTAGCTTTCCTCAAGTCTCAGCTAAAATCCTACATTCTATAGTGTGTTAAAATTTTATCTTGTTCTGGTCCCCCTGACAACTCCCTCCCCATGCTTCTAGTCAATATAGTAAGTTTATAATCAGTGAGTATAAAGTGGCAATAGCATTCCTGCTAACATGGCAAAGGAGTGCCTAGAAGTCACATATAAACCATCCCAAAGATCAGAGAAGCATAATTTGCAATTGTATCATATATTAACCCAAAATGTGCTGAAATCAGGGGCAGCCATCTAGGCTTTGCTGTCAGGGCCTTTTAGTCTTTTGATAATCTAAATCTCAGATAAGCTCCAGGCATCTGCAATAAGACCAGCAGAACACCTTAAAGTAATGATAATTTTGGGGTGACGTGGATACATTGAATTTAAAGTTTTACCAGCAACTTTGAAATGATTTGGATATTTAATGAGCTAATCCCAGGGTAGCATGGATAACGGCTTTCCTCCCAAAACCTACAAAAATGAGACCTCAAACTCCCCCCTCCTCATTTCTAGGACTCTTCCATCTTTATTTCATCCACGCTACTGAGTGCTCCTAATTCTAATCCATGGTTACATGAGTGCTCATCTGTGCCTCTCCCCTCCCCATCCTCATGCTGCCTGCCTCCCTTCACCATTCTATCCATGTCCTCACACCATCTGCTTCTGTATCCCTTTTACACCTTGACCTTATCCCTTCTGTGTCTGTTCACCCCTTGACCCTCTGTGCTTTCTTAAAGTATAATTGCAGCTTCACTTCTCACTGCCATCATGGTCTTTCCCAGTGAGTACCCAAAGAACCTGGAATGCCTGCCCCATTTCATAATTTTGTAAATTAATTAGCAATTCATATAGGAATTCTTTCCAGATCTCCCTTAATGCTAGTCCTTCTCCTTTCTTGATTATCTATAATTTGTAGATCTTGCTTGTACATAGATGTTTTTATGTCATCTCTCCCATGAAATTGTGAGCTCCTTGAGAACAGGGACTGTCTTTTGCCTTTTTTTGGTATCCCCAATGCTTAGCACAGTGCCTGGCACATAGTAGGTATTTCATAAATACTTAGTGACTGACTGAATAGAGCGCTGGACTTGGAATTAGCAAGACTTGGGTGCAAATCCACCTTCAGGCAGCTATGAGCTCTGTGACCCTCAGTAAGTCCCTTAAACTTTTCTGTACCTCAGTTTCCTCATCTATAAAATGAGGAGATTGTGCTTGAGAACATCTTCTAGTACAAAGTCTATAATTTCACTTATGTGGGGAAAGAGCATGGGCAGGGATGGAACTCATACCTTTTCTTATACAACAGCTTTATTGGACTCTTTGGACCATGATAAACTTCATCAGTCCAGTAGCATGAAAATGTCTCTAGTTCAGGTGAACGGCACTTGGTATACTGAGGCTTCCCAGAAGGCTCTGCAAAATAGAACAGAGAAGTATGAACCCACTGCCAGAAAAATAATAAATAGGTGAAGATAAGCTTATTTTAAAGAGTCTAAAGCAATTTAAAAAAGTCAACCAAAGCAGAATGGGGAGAATACTTGTGTTATCTTGGTCTACTATCTCTAAGAGGCAATGGGAAGCCCTGGCAGATTTTTTTTTTTAAAATTCTGAATCATGTTTTTACATCAAGCAGCCTTATTGTAATTTTTACTTGAATTTCAGGAATACATAATTCAGTTATTTCAAGGAACATGACTTCTGTTTTCATTTTCTTTGTCTATAGTTTGGAGCAAAGGAACAGTTTCAAAACTGCTCTCTGATATGGGCTACCCAAGGAGGAGAAATAAGCTGCATGAGGGAAAGGACACTGGAGACAAGGAAGGAGAACCAACAAATCACTTTATAATCCTTAATTCTATTCCACAGATACTCATTGAGCACCTACTGTGTACAGAGCATCGTGCTATGATAAATATAACAGATTCCATGATACGTATAAAACTGAGTGGCTATGGGAAATATGAGGGTGATGGTCTTAGCATCAAGGTGGATCAGGGAAGGCTTCATGGAGGAGGTAGCATTTGAAATGGGCTTTAAAAGATTAGAAATTCAAAAAGTTAAGAGGGGGAAGGAGAACATTCCAGCCCTATAGAGAACAGCATGAGCAAAAGCATGGAGGAAGGAAACTTCAGGGAATGTTCAGGAGAGAAAGTAATACATTTTGGCTGAAGGACAATATATGGAAGTGAGTGGTATGAGATTAAGGTTGGAAAATTAGTGAGGCATCATATTTAAATATAAAGGAACCCCAACTTGGTGGGTAATAGGGTATCTCTCAAGGTATTTGAACAAAAAAGTAAAATTAAATTCTATACACCAGAATATCTTCCTTCTTTCTTAATTTTCTTGCATTTCTACCTATAATTCAAAGTAGGGTTCAGCAAATTAGGACTTGTGGGACAAATCTCACCTGCCACCACTTTTCGTATAGTCTGAGAGCTAAGCATGGTTTTTACATTTACTGTTCCTAGCTTTTGGGCTGTATAAAAACAGGCACTGGGCCAGATTTGGGCCTCACTCTGTAGTTTGCTGACCCTCGGTTTAGAGCCTGACTCAAACCTAGGCAGACTAAAGATGATTCTGGCAGTGGTATAGGGGACAGATTAGAGGTAGGAGAGAGTAGAAGTAGGAAGAGGCTCTCATCATAGTCCAAGGTGGTGGAAATGAGTTCCTTTAGATGAGTAGTAACAGTTGGGGTACAAATGAGGAGACCGATATGAGATAGAATAAACAGTATGTAACTGATAAGATAGAGGAAGTGAGGGAGAAGGAATAAGCAAAGCTAATATGAAAATTCTGACTACTAAGGTTTTTGGTAAAAGACAATGTTTGGTTTTGGACATATTAAGTTTAAGGTGTCCCTAGAACAATGAGATAGAAGATGTCATAGCCAATTAGAGATGTGGGTCTAGAATCCAGAAGAAAGGTCATAGTTAGACATGCAGATTTGGAAGTCCTCTGCATAGAGCAGGCATTCTTAACACAGGGTCCATGAATTTGCTTTTTAATATTTTGAGAACAATATTTCAATATAATTATTTTTCTTCATAACCTCATTTTATGCATTTTAAAACACTCTTCTGAGGGGCCATAGAGTTCACTAAACTGCCAGGGGTCCAGGATAGGTTAGAACTTCCAAGTTAGAGGAAATAGTCAAAGTCATAGGAATCAATGAGATTGACAAAGAAGAGTGTGCAGAGAAGGAAGACAGCTGTGATAAGACCTTAGGGGAACATCAGACTTCAAGGGGTGGGAAAGAGAATAATGAGCCAGGAGCAAAGAAAAAAGGAGGGATCAGAGAGGTAGGATGAGAACCCATTTATTGGTCCCTGTCTCTGACGCCAAAGGACAAGAGACCTTATCCATAAGGAGGGTGTCATCGACAGTGTTCAGGGCTACAGAAAGGTCAAGGATGATGCAGCATAAGATTTCATTAGAGGATTATCAGTGTCCTTATGGAGGACAGTTTTGTATAGTGGTGGAGGAAGAAACCAGATTGCAAGGGTATTGAGAAGACAGTGAATGTGAGGTTGCAGAGACATCATATGGAGAAAACTTTTTCAAGACGTTTAGTATTGGAGTTGAAAAAAAAAAGAGAAATTAGCTAGATAGGATAGAAAGTCAAGGGAAGGTTTTTTTTTTTTCCTGGGATTTAGGACACCTGAGCACATTTATAGGTACAAAGAAAAAAAGTCATTAGAAAGGGACTGATGGATTTGCATGAAAGAGGGAATAAATGATGAGTCAAGTTTGGAAGGCCAGAGGGGATGGGATGAAAAGTATAAGTAAAAGAATTATGTCTACCTCTCTGGGCTTTAGAAATCTTCTGTACACTAATAAGGTTGGATTAAAGGGAAAGATCCCTTTCAGCTCTAAGGTTCTAGGACTTTCTGTAGTAAAGATTGAGATCTGAAATGGGCCTTAGAGGCCATCTACTCATCTAAGCTAAATTCTTGTCCACTCTCATCATTTTAGAGGTGAGGCAAATGAGACCGAGATGGGGAAGCAACCTAAAGTCACACGAGGTCCTAGATTCCAGATGTACTGCCCTATCCCTCACCATTCTGAAAGAATGCAACATGTACTATAACTATGTTAAAGTCATCATTTGAAGTCAGATGCTACCACTGAATGATCAGAAGTAAACTTCACTTCATTACATAAATTACCTTTAAATAAAGGATAGAAAATACAAGGAAGCTCAGGTTCCTTTATTTCTTTTGTATTATGCACATCACAAAAGGGCAGAAGTGTGCTAGTAAATGTTTAACAACTGGCTCTGGGTAGGGGGATGTTCACCGGACACACTTTCATGTTGTCTATATTACTGACATTTTCCTCATCACTTTCTTAAGTCTAGAATATCAAGAATCAAGACAATCAATCAAGCCCTGATTTTTAGTGTTTGCTAATTTCCAAAGTGTAAATTCTCACCCTGAAATTCTCACCTCAGCCAAAGGGCAAAATGTATGTCATCCCTCAAAATATAAACAAGTAAGAAAAATGACCATTGTTAACTTTAAAACTTTTGAATATTATAAAAACCAATCTAACCCCCATTTTGTTTGCTTAAACTTAGCAGTGGTATGGTGTCTCTGTTTCTTCTTAACTCCAGATGTATGGAAAGCTGCATATTCCCTCTCCATCTTGAGCCAGGGACATTGAAACTTCATGGTTATAGTGTTAATGTGATGAAGTGTGTGCCAACATCTGGTGCACTGACATACACATGTCATGAGGGAAGCTCCCTTTTGCAGTGTATCGGGACGTGACAATGCCTAGCGTCAGAGGGGAGTAACAACGGGGAGACAAGTGAGGCATTGTTTGGGGTGCAGAAAACTGAGGGGCACAGAAACTATCCCAAGAATGCATGTCACTAGAATGGAAAGGAGGCTTTGCCACAATTGTATATTCTTGCTTCAGGTGCAAAATTAGCTAGATAACCTTTTACAACCTTGGCCTTGGTGTTATACTTGATTCTTCACGTTCCCTCAGTGCGTGCTCTCCCTAGAACGTTTAAATGCCAACTCTTGTTTCGTTGTGCCATGTAAATGGAAGTTCTAATTATGTTCAGTATTTGTTAAGTTCAGAATAAGAAGAAAATTAAATGAAAAAATTTTTAAAGTATCGCAAAAGACTGATGGAAGATCAGCAACCCAGCAAGTCCTCAAAGATTTGAGTTTTATCTGAGGCATAAGTAAAAAATATTCCTAACTTGAAGCTCAAAGGTCCATCCATGCCTAGGAGGCAGCTAGGTAGTCCAGCAGCTACAGGCTAGAATCAGGAAGAATTGAGTTCACATCTTACCTCAATACATTTACTAGCTGTGTGATCCTGGGCAAGTCACTTAAAAGTTAGAGCTTAGTTTCCTCAGCTGTTAAAAGGGGATAATAAAAGCACCTACCTCTCAGGGTTGTGAGGATGAAATGAGATAATGTATGTAAAATGCTCAGCACCGTACCTGGCACAATTTTTGGTGTTCAGCCATTTCAGTCATGTCCAACTCTTTGTGACCCCGTTTGGGGTTTTCTTGGCAAAAGATACTGAAGTAGTTTGCTGTTTCCTTTTCTGGCTTATTGTCACAGTTGAGGAAATTAAGGCAAACAGGGTTAAGTGACTTGCCCAGGGTCACATAGCTAGTAAGTGTTTGCCTTCCTGACTTCCTGGAGTTTTCCTGACTCCAGGCTTGGCACTCTATACTGTGCCACCTAGATTCCCTACCTGGCACATAGTAGGTGGTTAATAAATACTTGCCTCCTTATACTTTCAGTGTGATTGTTATTCCTTTGAGCATATTTATTCAATTCTGTTTTGTCTTGGCTTTTTAAATGAGTGATCTGCACCTTTCCACTTCTGTGTGACTGTGGCTTGCAAATATTAAGTCACTTTTTGCTTCTCTGTCTTTTGGAAAGAGTGAGTCAAAGTTCATTCTTTGACAGGCCCTTTTAATGCAGGGCAAATAATCCTTGGTGAGTGACACTTGACAGGTGGAAAAGTAGGATATTGGAATGAAACCGAAAATGTTGCTTTCTGGCTAACGAAACTGGCCACTTAGGATTTTTGAAAAAAGAATTGGTAAAAATAAACCTGTTACTGGAGTCTTTGGGGACATCTGTATCATATTCATTAAGGCTATATGTTAATGAAGAATAAACTGGGCAGAAAAATAAATAGAGCAGCAACTAAAAATGCCCCGAATCAGGCTCTTTGGTTGAGGAAAGGGACCAAATTCCTGATATTAGGTTGTCCCAGCAAGCATTCTGTTGTAACTCTTAAAATTGAGGGAACCACAGGATAGGAATCATAGGATTTAGAGTTGGATGGGACCTTAGAGATCATTTAATCTCCCTCATTTTACAGCTGGGGTAACTGAGGCTGTTCAAAGTTATACAAAGAGTAGAGCTGCTCTGTGA